GCTCAATCACACGTCAGCTACAATCCTTGCTGCTCACAGGCTCGAATAAAAATAAAACCACGATACTGACGTGCTTTGGACTTTCCTTTGTTTGCATGTAAGTCGCCATAAGTAACATCGTATCAGTCTATTTAAACAGTATTCCAAAGTTTTAATGACAGCAGCCCTTAAACAGCTTTTTGGAACATCTTTAGTAAAAATCTTTGTTGGCATTTTAGTTTTTGTCTCATTGTGTGAACGTTTATGAAGCGTTTACTGTGATCATTTTTTCTTCCGTACATCTTTCAGCATCTTTCTTGTTCCACAATTTTGGTGCTGTTTCATTAAATCGTATCAAAACGTTCGGCTCTTTCAGGACAATCCTGCTATGACTTTTGGTATTGGTGCACCTTTAGCTTTTTGAAATATTTAGCCTTTTCCGCCATTTTTTCCTCATAGAAAATGAACCAAGCTCATTTTACATCCTTCAGATCTTTAGATCTGTTTATAACATTTTACTGCTGCTTTCACATTTTGTTCTGCTTCAGCTTCTTTCAGCTTCCTTGGGTAAATTTAAACTTTTTTCAGCTACTTTCAGCTGTTTTTCAGTTGTTTTGTGCTCCTTTTAGATTCTTTCTGCAAGTTTCAGCTTTTTCTGCTATTATAGATACTAATGAACTCTTTTAATGTCAGTTTTTGCTTTTTCAGTTAATTTCAAATATTATTATTTTTAGCTAATTTCACAATTTTTTTCTGCCTAATTCATCAATATTGTGCTCACTCCACTTACTTTTGGTAAGTTAAGCTTCTTTCTGCTTTTTTTAGCTACTTTTCAGCTGTTTCTTGTGCTAATTTAAACTTTTTTCAGATAATTTCCATTTTTTTGTGTTAATTTCTGTCTTTCAGCCTAATATGGCAAAAATGTGCTCTCTCCACTTCCTTCTGCTAATTTAAGCTTGTTCGACCTTTTCAGCTAAATTTTTAACATTTCTTTGCTAATTTCAGTTGTTTTCAGATAAATTCAAGTTTTTGTGGTAATTTCTGCAACTTTCAGCCTAATTAACTTATTTCTACTAATTTCAGCTCTTTAGGCTCCTTTCAGCTTATTTATGCTAGTTTCAGCTTTTTCTGATATTTCAGCTACTATTTAGCTGTTTTAGTGCTAAATTTACAGAAGCTTTTTTTTTTGTTTAGCTAATTCTACATTTTTGGAGCTAATTTCAGCTTCTTTCACTTCCTTCTGGTAGCTTAAGCTTCTTTCTACCTTTTCAGCAATTTTTTAAAGCTAATTTCAACTTTTTAGCTTATTTCCAAATTTTGTGCTCATTTCTGCTTATTTAAACTTATTTCAGCAAATATGTGTTCTTTCTGCTTTCTTCTGCTAACTTAGGCGTGTTCTTCCATTTCAGCTACATTTCACAGCATGTACAGCATGTTTTTAGCTACTTTCTGCTGCAAGTTCTTCAGCAATAAGCATTCACGCTGCATTTTTGCAGGAAATGCAATTTCTCTAGTTTTTTATGTTTTTTGTGAATATTGTTGGTTTTAGTTTCTCTTTTTGGTGATTATGTCTGACTGTTCTGTATTTTGTTCCGTCCCCCTGATCAGTCAGTTTCCTGTTCCTCATCAGCTCTAACCCCTCAGTGTCTCTCCAGTGAGCCTGCCACCCCATCTACACCTGCTCTGCTTCACCTGCCACAGCTGCAGCCACTTCTCTAATCAGCCTCAGTCCATCAAGTTGCTCTGCCCTCATTCACACCTGAGTGGAGCATTGTGTGTTCTCACGCCACGTCAGGTTCTCCTCAGCATTCTCCTTTTAGCGCTCCTTGTGTCGGTCTGTTTCAAGACGTGAATGAGTGGCTCCATCTCCATATTTAATGAACGGATGTGCTTCAATTAACTCAGGAACGTTTGCTCCTCTTCTGCAGCTGCGCCCATGTGTGGGGTTCCTAATGGAGCCATTCTGGACCCACTGTTGTTCAGCCTTTAAATCAGGCATGTCCAGTCCTGGTCCTGGAGAGCCACTATCTTGATTTGAATCAATGGGTGATTAACAGGCTTATGCACATGAAGTAATTAATTTATTGAATCAGGTGTGAAACAGGGAAATAAGTAAAACATAAAGGATCGTGGCCCTTGAGGACCAGGATTGGACACCCCTGCTTTAAAAAATGTCTTCAGGATTCATTTCGTGGATATTCTTTATCCTTGGACGTCATAAAAAAGCCAAAAATATTTACTAAAATCAAGATACAGACAAAAATACAGTTCCAAAAATAATAATATATTTAAAAACTGGTTGATTAAGGAGGGATTGACCTTATTGTGCGGCTCTATTTTTATTCGGTAAAAGTAAAAATATAATGTTTTAACAAATGTATTATTTTTGTAAAACCATGACTGGCCACATTAAAATGTCAAAATATCTACAATAGACTTGACCTGTTGCCAGAAAGTTTTCTGCAGCTTAAAGAAACAGAATAACTTTACGGAGGCTCCGCTCACTGAAACGTCTAAAAACCACTCCCCGACCTGCCCCGATAGCTCTGTCCACATCTGACTGAAAAACATTAACCCGTCGATGCAAGAACAAGAGAATTAATGACAATAATACTTATGTCACACCAAATACATCTAATTAATTTTACACCGACATATTTTAGTGGCAAAGGCAAAAAACTGCGGACTAATTCTACAATTAATTCTGCAAACATTCCTTAGATAGAGAACTTTACTAATTGGCTTTTATGTGTGTGAATGTTTCTGTAAAGTGCCCCGAGACAACTTTGTTGTGATTTGGTGCTATATAAATAAACTGAATTGAAATTGAATTGAATTCAAGTTAGTGAAATGAGAACCACCTCTACGCAAACTTAAACAAGACATTTTAATCCACGGTGACCTGTTGAGACAGAAATAACACAGGAAGTGCCACGGAACTGACTCAGCAGAATTAAAACTATTAAAACTTGTCTGAACTTAAACTTTCTCAGTCTGCATGAAAATAAGATCACATGTATTCACACCCTCACCTATGAGGACAGTTCAGAGTTACCAGTTAACCAAACATGCATGGGTTAGGGCTAGACATGCAAACTCCACCCAGAAAGACCTCAGGCCTAACCACTGCACCACCGCTTCATCGAAAAGATGCTATTTGCTTTGAAAAGTTTAATCCTCTCAACAACTCTGTAGACACTCGTGTCCCGTTGGCTGTTTAACAATCTGGGTGTGATTTTTAACATCTTAGATTTTAATATAAAGACCAGTATAACTGTGAAATATAGATTAAATATGATTGTAAAGACAAATTCTTACACTAAAGGCCTAGATCAGACCATTATAAAGCTCATTGTTGGTCTTGAACAGGCTTCCCTGTTTACAAGTACTACCCCCCCCACACACACACACACACGCACACACTGGAACAAAAAGCTTGAACGCATAACTTTGCAGTTGGCATCTCTTCACTAGCTTACATTTAAAACTTTAACTGGACGGGCCTCGTTTTATTTAAGAGATTTTCTAAACATTTCCACATTAGTAAGAGCACTATGGTCAACCAGCCATTTTTTTCTGAATGCTCCAAGATCCTGATAAAAACAAAAAGGCCATCAGGCTTTTGCAGTGGCAGCTCTAAATGTGGAACCGATTACCTCTCCTTATAAGCACGGCTCCAACTGTAGACACCATAGACCGGGGGAGTCCAGTCTTGGTCCTAAAGGGCCAGTATCCTGCATGTTTTAGATGTTTCTCTGCTCCAACACACCCAGTTTGAATCAATGAGGGATGAACAGGCTTCTGCAGAACTTTAAGACCGGCTGAAAACAACTAAAACGTGCAGGATAGTGGTCCTTGAGGACCAGGGTTGGGGAGCACTCCCATTAAATCAAGTATCCACACTTTTTTGTTGTTGACAAGTGGAGCTAGCAAGACCCAGTTTATGGGAGCAGCCATGTTGAATTCTTGAAACCAGTCCGTGCACAAGCGATGAGTGGCTTTAAGTCCTCTTCCATGCACAGTCATGTTGTTAAACATTCTTCCTTTTAAAGCATCCATCCATCCATCCATCCATCCATCCATCCATCCATCCATCCATCCATCCATCCATCCATCCATCCATCCATCCTCTTTACCCGCTTCTTCTTTTTTGGGTCACGGGGGTCACTAGTGTCCATATGTCACTGTGCGGGAGGCGGGGGACACCCTGCACAGATCTCCAGTCCATCACAGGAACACAAAGAGACAAACAAGACAAACAACCATTCACTCTCTCTCACCCAGAGACAATTTAGAGTTACCAATCAGCCTAACATGCATGTTTTTGGTCTGTGGGAGGAAACTGGAGTACCAGGAGAAAACCCACGCATGCACAGAGAGAACATACAGACTCCACCCAGACCGGGGACCTGCTCGCTGAGAGGCAGCAGCTCTACCAGTTGCACCACCGTGCTGCCCTTATGACAATCATGTTTATGTATTTAAATAGCTTTTCTGTCACAGCTGTCCTATTACCAAACATTTACCCAAATTCAATCCCCTCGTTATCATTTACAAATTACAGCCGTGGTTAATCCTTAATTTGATCACAGCAGCACCTCTTTCATTTTATGACACGTTCATGAAATACTGTGAGAAACAGCAGGAATCCCTCTGCTGTGTTTTGATTCAGCAATTTTTACCCATTGTCTGTGCGAATATGTGGATGCAGCTGCACGTTACACGCTGCACATATGACTGTAAATACCCGGTGCAGCACAAACACATTCGGATCGATATAATAAACACAGGAGGCCTCTGACTCGTTTTCCAATAAGAGCACCTTTATTGTCCTGGAGCACAAATGACTACGAACCCCGTGGGTCAATGTGTCCTTCTGTCTAATGAATGCGCAGTAAACACGATTAATGGACTCACTGTTTATCTCATTTTATCCTCTCATCTTTCCTTTTCTAAACTTCCTCGCTCTGCTCCCTGTTTTTCCTCCACCTGACTCCTCCAACCTGTCCTCTGATCCGCAGGCGAGACGTTCTCCGAGAACTACAGTCACACAGAAAAGTGCATGCCGTGCACTCAGTGTACCGGCCTGATGCGCATGGAGACACCCTGCACTGACTCCAACGATGCCAAATGCGTCTGCAACTACAACTACTTTTACAACAAGATGTCTCAACAATGCGAGCTGTGCACCGTGTGCCCGGTGGGGCAAGGCGTGTACGCTCACTGCGATCACGATCACGACACGGTGTGCGAGGAGTGCGTGGACGAGACCTACTCTGTGCGGGAAAGCTCCCTCGACCCCTGCCTACCCTGCACCATCTGCGACGAAGAGTTCGAGATAGAGATGGCGACGTGCACGCCCACCAGCGACTCTGTCTGCTATAGTAAGTTTGACGCACGTTCAAATCCCATCCTGCCTCGTGTTCAGGAAATTTTTCCGTCAGTTGTCAAAGCTCTGCTTGATTTGCAGCTAAATGTCAGAACAGAAGTCGTCTCAGGGCACTGAACAGAAACATTCATATATAAAAAAAATAATAATTTTAGACTTTATATGAGGAGCAGACTGCTTTGAATTTAACTCCATCTCAGAACTCTCATCTTGAGCAAGCATGAGGGCGACAGTGGAAAGGAAAAACTCCCTCATGAGGTAGAAACTTTTGGCAGAACCAGGCTCAGAACAAGCGGACATCTGCTTTGACCGGCTGGGTTTGGTAGGAACAGATACACAATGGCAGGTCAAGAATCACATGTTAAGATAGAAATAGTATCAAATAAAAACTATTCCATTGTAACAATAAATTTAAGGAAATGAGGTCACTTTGCCCTCTAGTAGTCTAAGCTTAAGACAGCATGACAAGCCAACCCTAACTATAGGATTTATCAAAAAGGAAAGTCTTAATCCCAGTCTTAAACTGGACAATGTGTCGGCCTCATGGACAGAAACTGGAAGTTGGTTCCACAAGAGAGGAGCCTGAGAACTGGAAGATCTTCCTCCCATTCTACGTTTGGAAACTCTATGAACCACAAGTAAACCTGCAGTCTGAGAGTGAAGTGCTCTGGTAGGAAACTATGGAACACTAAGATCTCAACTATAAGATGGAGCTAGGTTGTTGAGAGCTTTGTAGGCTAGAAGTACAATTTTGAATTCAGTTCTGAATTTGACGGAACCAATGAAGAGAAGCTAAAACTGGAGAGCTATGATAACAATATAATACTATAACAATAATTTTTGGATGCTGACCACAGAGAAAACTTCGAAAAAGACTTTGATTTTAAGTGAATTACAGTTTAATTGTGATCTAAATTAAAATTCATACAAGCACTTGCAAAACTCCATATTTGTGCTGCCGTTATCAATAACTGGGGACTAATTTGATCTGAAACATGTGGTATGGTATAAAGTTTATTCATTGAAAAAAAAATACAAAACAATTCCATAACAATATAAAAAATACAAGAGATTTAAAATGAAAGGCAGCAGAAAGAATAAAAAATCTCATTATATCTGCCCCTTATTTCAAACAATTATTTCAATCATAATAATTTTCAAGTAACAGAACAAAATGAATAACTCTTTTTAATTTTTCTAATTAAATTACTTAATGTCTAATTAATGTCTTTTGTTCTAGTGTTTTATCCACCTTTGGAGAAATCAAACCAGTAGGCACTCTGGAGTCCAGCTAGAACTTTCAGGATAGCTTTACATTTTTACATAAAAACAAACCCTAAATATGAAGAATGCAGTGGGTCTATTTGGATCACAGTAAAAAAGGATGTCTGCTATTGTTTAGTCTGCATCAGAGCTAGAAGACCTGAACCGAGCAGGCAGCTGCAGCAATTTGTTTGTACTGCACAACATATTAACCATGAAAGCACCTTTACTGGAAAACACAAGAAGTTCCAGACCACAAACTGCACCTCAGGTTCTTTCAGAGAGGAGATGAGAGCGCTGCGCCTCAATCACACGTGAACAAGTCACCAGGAGAGACTTCCACATGTGTCTGTGGCCACAGGAGTGGTTAAAGGTCAGCTCTGGTCAGCTGGAAGTTGAAAGTTTTAGCATTAAAAGGTCAAAGACTACTTTAGTGTCAACACGGAGCCAATCAATAATCTGCTCGCCCACCCAGCAGAGCCGAGGTTTTCTGGCTCCAGCGGTAAAGGAGGCTTAAAGCTCAGGAAGCTGTAAATTCACTCAGGTCAAACGTGACATGAAAATGAGCTCAACTTTGCCTTTGGTGGCATTAATCTAAAATTTCTGAATGATTTTCTTTTTCTAAAAAAAACAAAACAAAATATAGAAAATGCATTTCTTGTTAAAAATGCAATATGAATGCTTATTGCTGAAAGGTTTTTGCTGAAAGCTGCTGAAAAGGTTTCATCTCTAGTTCAGAGGACCTGACTCAACCGTATTTCTTTCTTCCTCTTCTTCCTCATCTTCCTCTTCCATCTGTTCAATTTTCAGGCGTCTCCACAGCAAGTCATCCTCTTCCATCTCACTCCACGTCCTCACTAACTGCATCCGTATCTTCTTTATCTTTTTCCTGGCAGCTGCATTTCCAACATCCTTCTACCAATATACCCACTGTCCCTCCTCTGGACATGTCCAAACCACTGTCCCTCCTCTGGACATGTCCAAACCATCTCAGTCTGGCTTCTCTAACTGGATCTTTTATGACTCAACCTTATTTGAAAAAAAAAAAGGCTAAAATTAGCAGAGAAAAATACCTCAAAAGTATCAGAAAAAGCAGAAAGAAGTTGAATTTAACAGGAAAAATGCTGAAATTAGCAGACTGAAGCTGAAAGGAGCTGAACCTGAACAATAGCTAAAATGAGCAGTAAAAGGTTGGAAGCAGCTCAAAGGGTTCGAAGGACGCGAAGAGAGCTCCATTCATTTTCAATGAGGAAAAACATGGCAGACAAATTTAAATATTTAAAAAAGTAAAAATTGCACAAATACCAAAAGTCAGAGCAGGAAGGTCCGGAATGAGCCGAACGTTTTGATATAAGAACTGTTGAAATAGCACATTCATTGTGAAACAAGTTACGCTCCACACAATTCACACAATTAAAAGTCTATTACTTGAATGAATGCAAATTGCACACCGCCTTTCTTCACACACTTTTAAACTATGATTATCTTATGTGAAGAAATGAAGTAAACATAACTTTCAGTTACTACCACACCAAATTTTAGCTCGGTGTCAGAGTTATGGACGTCTTTGTGTGTTTTAAATTCAGTTTGGCAGCCAGCCGAAACTGAGTTGGTTCCAATGTTAATCAGTTAAAAAGATATATGAAATGATTATTTCCTGATATGGTTTTTCCAGTAGTTCATGAAAAATTTAGGCAAAAAACAGGCACGCCAACACGTGCTCAGACAAAAAGGTTATCACTCGTCTTTGCCGTCTATCAAAAGTTGGTGATGATAAAGAGCAACGAGGCTAAACAAGATAACTTCAGCACTCATGACAAGTTCTCTTCCCAACAATTATTCCTGAACTAGTCTTTAATGTGCAATTTGAGTTATTGATGGTAATAAAGATCATCTTCAGTTTTCAGCTGAACCAACTTGGCTTTTATATCTCATTTATTTTGACAATCTTTTCGGCATTTTGTTGTTAATCTGCAATGCTCAAATAAATTGTTAAATTCCACTTTAATTGACTTGAATTGGCACAAAAACAGAGAAATGGTGTGTTGATGAGGTGAAACAAGGCTGAACAACATCACTCATGGATGAACGTTTGTCTTTCGTTGGTGCCAAACATCATTGGTGGTGCAACACTTTGCTTAAACCTTCAATTACCATCTTGCCGCCTATACGTCGCACCGCCGTATAAGTCACATAAGTCCAAATATGTGTAATAAAGTGGAAAAAAAACATAAATACGTCGCTTCGCCGTATAAGTCACATCTATTATGCGTCACCGCTAATCCGTTGCGTTTGTTACAAGTCACCACTGACAACCCGGAAATGTGGGTCGGTGTTGTGCCAAAAATCAATTGGCTGCCCATGGCGGCTGCGGGAGCGTGCACAGAACAAGAATTTAACAAGATAACCACCTAAAAACAATTATTTGTTTGCTCAAAATTATAGCAAAGGTGTGTCTCAGTTGAACATTTCCTTAATAAATTCACCTTAATGGTCAAATTAGCTGCATTTCCCCTGGGCGATGCGGTGAAATGCAGCTGATTTGCCGTTTGCTGGAGCAAGACGAAGGTGGCTTTGTATGGCAAGCCAAGTGTCTCATTAATAGCTACTTTTATCTATTAATGAGACACTTGGCTTGCCATATTAGTCCAGGGCCCTCTAGTGGCTGAAAATGGTAGTGTTCAATATTTTCCATGTCAGAATGAATGAAATCGTCAGCCAAAAATTGGGTTATAAATATGGGGTAGAAAAAACAAACATGTCGCTTCAGTGTATAAGTCATAGGCATGCTAATTTATGGGAAAAACTACGACTTATACAGCAAAAATTATGGTAGACCATAAAAAAAAATACAAATTCAGCTTCACTCCTAGCAGCACATTAGGTGGGAGGCCAACAGTTTACATGCATACAGTAAATGCTCTTTATTCACCTACAGGATTTCTACCAGATAATGCACATAAGTCACAATGCAGCCTTTTACTGCTCGTTTTGTGCCACCCAAGCAGCTCAACTTGCCTCGTTCGACTGATGGCACGATAGCAGCAGTAATGGTGGAGATCTGAGATGGTATCATACGTGACCCCATGAAAGGAAAGCCCTGTTAAAGAGCAACAGTAGGCCTGTGGGTAATGACTGCAGACACAGGGGGTGTGATGATGAGACCAGGCTTCCACGGTGGTCTTTGATGATCGGACATCCAGATATATTTTCTGCAACAAACTAAAAATCGGCCTCATTGGGATTCCCGACTTGTCAGTGTGTTCATCCTACGTGGAAACCTCTTTTCTCAACCTTATGACTGCTTTAATAAAGATGTGATTAGGGTATTTTCAAACCCCTAAACCCCCAGCTCATATCCAACTGTCAGCAAGTGTTGATTATGTGCTACAATGACAGGGAGGCAGAGAAAGAGAAAGGAGCAGAGCTGGAAACAGACGCAGAGCTGCAGCATATGTGCTGTGCTGGTATTCTATGCTGAAGGGTCGATACGAGTCCTGGGAGTTCTTCTGCTCCCGCTCAGGTTTCACTGGGTGACCTCTATCAGCCAAATGCACACAAACACATGCACACACGCCACCCCACCATCACATACACACACTTTAATGAGCTTCAGAAAGTCTTTTTCTAAGAATCCAGAATCAATACAGTGGATAGCATCCTAACATGTCACATAGACTCTTCCTGTTGCCAAAATGTGACTTCACCTTCATATTCTTCATCAAACTTTGG